AGGGCCACTCTGGGGATTTCTTTTCCTTATGCTTGTTAAGTATCCCCGGATTGCACTCACCTGGCTTATTAACCAAGGATTAGCATAGCAGCAGGTTTGGCAGGCAGAATGGGTTTTACAATTTACAAGTCCAGACGGGGAGTGTACATAGGACCAGGTGGAAATTATATATAAATACATACATACATACATACATACATATTACTTTTTTCCTTCCAATTTAGTTGGTTTATTTCCTAGTCTCCCTAACATACCATCCACCCAGAAGTCACCACCCACAACAGAGACTAAGTTCTGGGCAAAGCTTAGTGTCCAAACAAACATACAATCAAAGCTCTCCCTTGTCTCACTGTAGTATTATTCTTCCTATTACTATTCTTAAAATTTTCATCGCTTGTCCTTTCCCTTAGTTTTCCTTTCTGTAATCTAAATAACTAAAGTTTTACTTCATAACACTATTAACCTATCCTTCAGTTTCACTGTGGTAGTTATATAATTGTCAATTTGAGAGGATTATGAGTGGAGGGGTTGGAGTCTAGTCTGTCAATCGGATCATAGCCAATGAGGCCTCTGTGTGAGAATGGCCTTCTCCTGAGAATTCTGGGAAATCTGGTACTTCCTCCTTGGAGGCAGGAGACACGGTCTTTCTCTGCTCACACCCTGGGAGACATAGCAGCTGGCAAGACACATGGACTCATGCAGATGCCACCCTGGAAGTTGGAGAAGCCATGCAGAGACCCCTGCCAGCACTGAGATGTTTCCAATGCCAATGGATCCAAAGACTCTCTACCCACTGGCCTGTGATCTTCTACATTCGGCGTCATTACATGTGTTTCGTGAGTCTGAAGAGGACTTTATAGATTAGTATCGGACATATGGACTAATATCGGACTTATGGACTTGATCTGGACTGGGCTGGGATATTTTCTCAATGTTCAATTGCTCTTGTATACAAATCTCTTTCTTAAACACATGTGTGTCCATGGATTTGTTTCTCCTGTGTACCCAGACTGACACATTCACTTTTTCTCATCAAACCTTTTCTTACCTTCGCAGTCTCATAAAACCAAAGCCTGACACTATTACCACAATATGTAAAATCGTTTTTGCTTTCAAATACTAGTATCCATTCCTCCAGCTTTGCAAATCAGGTATTTCCCTTCCTTTAACCTACCAACAATACTACCTGGTCCCTCCTCCCCTTTTT